TTTTTTGTATTTTTAGTAGAGACGGGGTTTCACCATGTTGACCAGGATGGTCTCGATCTCTTGACCTCGTGATCCACCCGCCTCGGCCTCCCAAAGTACTGGGATTACAGGCGTGAGCCACCGCGCCCAGCCCAAAATTTTTAATTTTTTAAAAAAGGAAAAATAAAAGATTACGTTTTGTGGAAATGAGGGAGGTTACAATTCCAACTGAAGCTAGAAGGAGGGGCAGACAGTATTCCTGAACATGTGGGAAATGTCGAGCTTGAACCTGTAGCTGAAAGTAATGTTTTCGTTGCTACTGGTGCAAGGTCTGTCAGAGGCTGGAGGTGGGGATGGAGGCTGCGAGGGCAGAGTTGAGGCTAACACTATGAGAGCCAGCCCTGACTCTCAGGCTGCACTGGCCCCCAGCATACACTGGACCTGAGGAGGAGGCGTCCCTGGAGTTCCTACTGACAGACTACGAGGCAGTGTGTGGCCGCCGGGCCCGGCTAGAACGTGAAGTCCAAGGAGCCTTCCTCCGCTTCATGGCCTGTCTGCTCAAGGGCTACCGAGTCTTCCTGCGCCCACTCACCCAGGCCCCGTCCGAGGGAGCTCGTGATGTTGACAACCTTTTTTTCCTGCAGGGTATGGAGGGCCTGTCTTCTGCTGGGAGATGGTATCATGGAAGGTGGTGGCAAGGGGCAGGCTCTGTCAGAAAGGAAGAGGGGGCTGGCAGCCACGCCATTGTTTTTTTTGGTGTTGTTGCTGTTGTTTTTGAGATGGAGTCTCACTCTGTTGCCAGGCTGGAATGTAGTGGCACCATCTCGGTTCACTGCAATCTCTGACTCCCTGGTTCAGCAATTCTCAGCCTCCCGAGTAGCTGAGATTATAGGCACCCACCACCACACCCAGCTAATTTTTGTATTTTTAGTAGAGACAGGGCTTCACCATGTTGGCCAGGATGATCTCCATCTCCTGACTCCATGATCCACCCACCTTGGCCTCCCAAAGTGCTGGGATTACAGGTGTGAGCTACCGCGCCCGGCCAACAAATGTTTCTATGGACACCTGCTTTGAGACATTCACTCTTGTGGGGAATTAGTTTACAAAGATGAACCAGCTGTGGTCCTACCCTTTGGAGTCCCGGCCTTAGGGTAGACATAGTAATCCCTGTGGTGAGCAGCTCCCATGGGCAAAGCTCTGTGCAGGGACCCTGCCCTTGGAGATACCCCAGCCTGAGGCAGTGGGCACAGGCACACAAAGGGAGGGATTCCCTAGGACCATCATGCTGGGGGTGCTGAGCTGGTCAGCTTGGTATGAGGGTAGTTGTGCCAGAGGGTCCGAGAGATGATGGCCTTGGGCCTGAGTAGGCAGGCAGCCAAGAATAGATTTAAAAAAGCTATGGCTGTGGTGGGGAGCCGTGGTCACCTCCCTCCTCTGCCCCATTCCCGTCCCCCTCAGGCTTCCTCAAATCCCGGGAACGCTCCAGCCACAAACTTTACTCTCAGCTGCTGCACACACAGATGTTCTCACAGTTCATTGAGGAGTGCTCTTTCGGCTCTGCTCGCCATGCTGCCCTCGAATTCTTCGACTCTTGTGTTGACAAGGTATCATCCCTTCTGTGTACTCACTGGCCTCTGTTCTCTCTCACTGTCTCTCTTGCCCCCAGGCCATTTTAGACAGGATTGGGCATGTTCAGGCTGTAGACCCCAGGGCCATTTTATTTTATTTATTTAACTTTTTAATTTTAATTTTTGTTTTTTTTTTTGAGATAGAGTTTTGCTGTCTCCCAGACTGGAGCACAGTGGCATAATCTCAGCTCACTGCAATCTCCAACTCCCTGGTTCAAGTTATTCTCCTGCCTCAGTCTCCCCAGTAGCTGGTATTATAGGTGCGTGCCAACACTGTCCAGCTAATTTTTTTTTATTTTTATTTTTAGTAGAGACGGGGTTTCACCATGTTGACCAGGATGGTCTCGATCTCTTGACCTCGTGATCCACCCGCCTCGGCCTCCCAAAGTGCTGGGATTACAGGCTTGAGCCACCGCGCCCGGCCAAGCTAAATTTTTGTATTTTTAGTAGAAACAGGTTTCTACTTGACACATTGGCCAAGCTGGTCTCGAACTCCAGGCCTCAAGTGATCCGCTGGCCTCAGCCTCCCAAAGCGCTGAGATTACAGGCATCAGCCACTGTGTCTGGCCCCAGGGCCATTTTAAACACAACTCTATATCTGATCTGCGACTTGGATGGCACTCCTGGAGTTATACAGTGCACAACCTGTGCAGCCATACACAGCTGGCTCCATACATGTGACTTACTACCCTCCCGTTCCTGACTCTCCGTCTTCCCAGGCTGTATCTCCTTCCCTGTAGATGAGCTCTCCTGAGAGATGCCATTATCTGGACACCCTGGCTCTGCTCCATGCCCACCGTCTCAACACCCGCTCTCTTATGATCCTTCTCCAGGTCCACCCAGAGCAGGAGAAGCCTGAGCCGACACCCTTAGTGGAGCTTGAGGAGCTGTCAGGAAGTGAGCTCACTGTCTTTATCACACCTCCCGAGGAGCCTCCCGTACCAGAGGGCAGTGATTCCACTCCCCAGTACTGGTGAGTCTTTTGTTCCCTCACGTGGACCATAGGGTGGTCCGGTCCAACTTGCCTGGCCCTTTGCTGCTTGCCCTGATGTTGCTCTCTGCCCTCCAGCTACGATGGGTTCCCAGAGCTACGGGCTGAGCTGTTTGAGTCTCTTCAGGAGCAGCCTGGGGCCCTGCCTGTGCCGGGCCCTTCCCGTAGTGCCCCCAGCAGTCCTGCTCCTCGCCGTACCAAACAGGTAAGCAGTGGGTGGACCCCATTGAGGGACCTGGATCAGGCTGAGGGCTGCTGCTGCTTCAGTTTCCTCATCTGTAAAATGGGGATAATAATAGTACTTACCCCATGAGGTTGTTAGGAGTTTAAATGTGCTTAGCACATAACCAACCCTGTATAAACATTAGTTGCCATTATCACTGTCATACCATCATTGTCATCACCTTCATCTTCTGAGCACTCTGGGAATCCAGGGACTGGCCATGTCTTCTACGGCACCTGCCCATGGTCCAGGGCCAGCCTCTCTGCACGAGGCTCCAGGCAGGGCTGCAGTCTGCGGAGTACAGCATCCTTCCTCCTCCTCAGGGCACAGACTTCCTCACAGGTGCTACTTCTCCCCACACCATTTCAATGTCTGTCCTGGTGGCTCATGCCTTTAATCTCAGCATTTTGAGAGGCTGAGCTGGGCAGATCACTTGAGCCCAGGAATTTGTGACCAGCCTGGGCAACATGGCAAAACCCTGTCTCTACAAAGAGTACAAAACAATTAGGCAGGCGTGGTGGTGTGTGCCTGTAATCCCAGCTACTTGGGAGGCTGAGGTGGGAGAATCGCTTGAGCCCAGGAGGTTGAGTCTTCAGTGAGTCGAGATGGCACCACTGCACTCCAGCCTGGGTGACAGAGAAAGACCCTGTCTTAATAAATAAGTAAATAAAGGCCGGGCGCGGTGGCTTAAGCCTGTAATCCCAGCACTTTGGGAGGCCAAGGCGGGTGGATCACGAGGTCAAGAGATCGAGACCATCCTGGTCAACATGGTGAAACCCCGTCTCTACTAAAAATA